TATATCAGATATAATAAGGGACCAAGCACAGAACCCTGAGGAACTCCTGAAGGAACCGTCTTCGTAGTGGACATGCCCTGTTCAGTTTTCACAGTTTGTTGCCGATCAAGCAAGTATGACTCGAAGAACTTTACAACTATATCTGACATACCATAGTAAGACAATTTACTCAATAGTATCTGGTGATTGACCATGTCAAAGGCTTTCGAGAAATCTAGCAGTATCAATACGGTGTTGATGTGATTATCCAAATTATAGATGATAGAGTCAGTGAGATTTAATAACGACGAGGTCGTGCTGTGACCAGACCTGAAACCCGACTGACATTGAGGAAATAAATTATTCCGTTCAAAAAACTCCACCAGTTGAGAGTAGACAGCTTTCTCTAGTATTTTTGATAGAAAGCATAACAGGCTGATTGGTCTAAGATGTTTAGTACTGAAATAATATGAATCTCCGGACTTTCCATATACAGAGAGGAGAAGTTCCTGAATCCCACGATATTTTTTGAAGTGATAATGATATGAAAAAATAAGCCCCGCGATTGATAGGGGCTTTCCCCAACTATCCAATAGTGACCTAGAATTTGACCTTGACAAAAAACCTTCAAGGTCGTTAAAGGTTAAGTCGATTTATTTAAATCCCCATTTTTTACCCCGTAAATAAGAAGAACGGAAAATTTTACGTTCAAATGTGGTCTTCCCATTCGTAAAAGAGACCTTAGGAGGTCGTGATCAAAGCCAAACCCAGTTACGGTGATATAGGGAAACTACCGCGACATTACTTTCACGATTTTACCTTGGATATCTAATGATGTCCTTGGATCTGGACTTAGCCATGATGACCTTAAAGGTAGTGTGAAGACCAAGACGATTTTTGTAGCCAGGGAACGATCCTGAAACATACTGAAGTCGGTTTATCTAGGAATTATACAGTTTTCTGGATTATCAACAAATTAAGGTAAACTTGTGTTTGACCTTGATGGTCAAGTCCAAGGTCAAGTTCCAAAAGTGGTAAAGAACATATTCTAAGATGAGGTTTACCCTTTTCTCCATTTCAGCGGCAAATCTGTTTAGGGCTCCATTGAAAAGGAGTTGATCTTCAAATAACCTTGAATGTCATGTCCAAGGTCAGACCCAGGGTCACCAGTGGCTAGAGAAGAACCATGAAACGATGTCTCGGTAGTTTTCTTATACGACTACTGGCAATCAAGTTTTATCACCGTACCTGCGTTTGACCTTGATGTCAAAAATCTAAGGATCGTCAAGGCTATATTTGAACGTAAAAATTTACACCCTTTTCATCAACGGAGGCGAAAAAGGGGAATCAATTTAAACAAATCAACTTGACCTTCATATGACCTTGAAGATCATTATCAAGGTCAAATTGAAGGTCACAATTATATAGCTGGAGAGAACTCCTATCCATCGCGGGGCTTAGTAATTTTCTAACATTATTAGTTCAGAAATGATCGTGGGGTACGGAACTTTTAGTACGTACTTTACGTATGTGGTTCAGGATTGGAGAAGGCAATTATTGATCTTAAGGGGAATTTTTCTATACAGCTGGAAAACATGTTTGAATGTCGTGTAGGTTTTGCAAGACAACTTTGAATTCTCTAAAAGACAAATCAGTAAGTATTAGTTGGCTTAAGCATGTAGACAGTAACTATATCCATTTCTGCTAGTTTTGGAGCGATCGCTATACTAAGAACTCATATTTTGAAGTGAATCTGTGGTGGTAGGGAAACAACTTGCACCTCCTCTGCAACTGACCCAGAAATCCTACATATGGTAACTCGGCAGAAACAATGCTAATTACCAACCTTTTGGTTGAAATGTCGGTCAAAATTGTATCACAATTACATCAACAAGACCAAGTTTTGAAGTAAAATGCATTTCTGTCAGGTGGAAGATGGGCTACTGTAGACGATTCTATTATCACGTGTCATTCGGGAAGTTTCATCATGAAACCAGATAGGTAGAGATTCAAGGTGGAGGATCTAAAGATGTAATAGAAATATTAACGTTGTCGTGAAAGAAAAACTTACATTTATGAATTATAGATAAGAATTTAGCGCCCTCCTGTACTTGCTAACTACATTCTTTCTTCGATATCAACGTTTTCGTATTTCCACAATAAAGTCAACTTCCCCTTCAAACTCTTGAAAATTTTCTAACAAAGCAAATGACGACAAAGTCCCAAAATCCGCTATAACAATATCTTGAAAGCAGGAAGCTGTTGTGTCTTCATCGTGGTAGGCGATGCATCGGCAATTTTTTCTCATTCATCACCAGGCACGTCATTAATTTCCCCCACGCAACCGCATCATTACCTCGCAAGTTTCACCTCCTCCCTTTCTTCCTCCTACCCCTCTTCTTGATCCATCGTCTTACGCGGGAATCAATTATTTTCCAATACGTCAGGGTATCTGGGAACAATGTAGACCCTCGACGACCGATTAGCAGTTCGAGTTAAACGTGGGGAGGGGAGGGGAAAGGGGGCAAACATTGGCGTAAGCGGGGTTTTAATTAGAGGGTGTAAATGTAAATCACGTTTGTCCATAACAATCTTTGATTATCATTGAAGAGTTTGTTGGTAAGGATGAGTTGTTCAAAAGTAAAAAAGTCACGTGAAGTATATTGACTCTGTACCTCCCACGCATTTATAGACAAATGGACTTTGAAAATGCAGCATGTATCTGCATATGAGTCAACTTTTTTCGTTCTAGTATCATTATTCGCCAATGATAGAAACTCTTACAGCTGGTGATGTTATACAAATATATATATATATATATATATATATATATATATATATATATATATATATATATATATAAATTCGTTATTATTGATATAACTGGCCCTGCTTAGTGCATAATGTCATGTTTCGCACGCTCTGGTATTATTAGATCATCGTCGTCGTCTGCATTTGGCAGGTAATGGGTAGGGCGTGTTCCTGGGTAACTTGCATTACTGGAGTCACAAAAGTAAATATTATACGAAATATACAACTGTGTCTAACAGGTGGATAATACTACTACAACCACAAATTTCTGAATAACTGTATGTATATCACTGATATCAAAGGCTCAACTTACAGCCGCCTCAGTCCCAAAATTTTCTCTGAAAATGATCAGGAGCCTGCGTACTCGCAAAACAGAAAGTTTGAGTGATTTCTATTTTATTTGTCTATGGCTTTAGGCTCCGCCACCAGTACACCAATATTCGATCACTACAAAGTTTATCCGTACCATTGTAAGATTGTGTCTAAATTTTATCAAAATTCGAGCGGTACTCTCCAAGTCATAGAAAAGTCAAGAATCAGCGAACAGCCAGATAGACAGACAGCCCGACGGACAGGTAGACCGACAGAAATAAGTGAACTGGCTTATCGTGATGTACATGACATGTAACATCAGATAAATGTCTAACTTTTGGAATATTCCGGTAGTGGCGTCGGAAATAAAATTAAGATAAAGAAATTGGATCTGTTCCATTTCATTTTAAAGATATTGCAGAAACCGAACAGTCAGTTGTGTACTGAGGGAGTGCTTGAGTTATCTTCAAACTAAACTTTGATAACATTGATACACCAGCCCTTTCAAAATCTACAACGCAGTAAATAATACTTCTGTTAACACATTGCACTGATGTTCAATAACCTCAACATGTAGCGGTTCAAGATCTTCGTGATACGGACTACTAAAACCATCAGAAAACGGTTAATCTCAAATTAAAAACGAACAAGAAAGCAAAGGCGAGGAAAACTGGACTTATCCGAAGCTTCTCCGTAGTTGCATTAGAAGCAAAATGAGCGCTGAAAACTTTGTTACAGATTCAGTACGAATTACGGACTTGTTGGTTACAGTGAGAAAATTAGAAACTCATATCCGCATGGTGGCGTGTCATATTACACGCTCATAAATAGAGATCTGAGCGTCAGAGTGCAATAAAGCAATCCAGACTTCCAGAGTTTCAACGCGATATGAGAACCGCCGCGCATAATATTGTTTTCTCCATAGCTGTTACTCTAACCTCAAAGAGAAGCACAATGCATTATTGGGATTAGAGAGCTGATACGTTTTAGTCCAGGAAGCATCTTCGCAGCTGCTCGGAAAATATTCTGATTTGTTTCTTTGGATAGTCCTCTCAAAAAAGGTCTTTCCCAACAAAGATGCATGTGGCCCTGGTCCTCAAGATCTGCAGACCTGCAGAACTGCCAATACTTTTGTCTTAACAGAAAAAAGCAGTAGTAATTTCATCATTATTTATTTTCCATGTTATCACACAAATAGAAACAATACCGGCCTGCCTCCGCAAGATACGGCGTCGAGTCTGTTTTGCAGCATTATAATCGACCAATTGTGTACTTGTCATTTTCGTCGCGACCGCAGCGTAACATTATTCATGGGCCACTTGAAAGGGGTCTGTGCACTACTTCGACACAAGCCGGATGCGCTTGCTTTTGTCTCTCTCTACAAAATCAAATGCTAGATTTAGAAAGCATAAGCATGTGCTGCAATTTATGCAGATCCGTACAGATCTAATGCGAAGTACGATATCTGATTGGTCGGTTGGTGCTCGGTCCTCGGTATCGGCATATTCGTCTTGTCGCGTAACGTGGCTTAAAATCTGAATGCGCAAAATTTTTTATTAAGGTATTTTGGGTCTTATGTTGAGTGACTAGTGACTTACTGACTGACTGTGGCTGTGTAGAAGGGTAGCAAAACAATGGATGTGGTTTACAGACTTATCAGCGTGAAACGATTCTGGAAATACACATTTGAAGAAAAAATTTAGCTGAAGGTGTCAGGTCGACCGCTGCCGGACATATTTATAGGGCTATACGTGGCATTTCAGCAGGGAGATTTACACCAGGAATGACTGGATTTGTGGGTGCAACACGAATAATACCCTTTTCTGTTTTCCTTGCATACTTTTCGGGGGTGACAAAGCTTGAACAGAGGTAGGTGTTACAGATTTAGTGCACCTGAGTGAAAAAAATAAGATGCATGAAAACTCTAAAACACATCTTCATAATACGATGGAATTGGCTTTATTGGGGACTGTTTACATCAGAACTCAGTTAGATTCAGCATATTGGAGAAATATACAACAGCATAATGATACCGTTACAAAAAACAGGTACGTTCTATCAAAAATAATCGATTGTATAAAATTTTGCGGAGCATTTGAATTGGCGCTACGGGGCCACGACGAAACCGAGAGCTCCCAAAACCCGGGAATATTTCGTGGACTCATTAATTTTTCTGCTGAGCTTGATACAACCTTAAGCGAATACATAAAAAATGCTTCAATATTTAAAGGAACTTCGAAAGAAATACAAAACGATCTACTGGATTGTATTCTTGAAGTGTGTCATGGAGAAGTAATAAATTAGATTAACAGAAAACCCAACTGGTAACAATTGTCAGATATGTATTTAACGGCGAACCAGTAGAACGTTTTTGAGCGTCGTAGATCCATTAATAGAAAATTTCCCTAACAGACTGATTTCACAACGCTATGATGGAGCCGCGGTAATGAGCGGACATAATTCTGGAGTACAGGCAAAAATTAAACAAAGATATCCATTTGCTCACTATGAGCATTGCCATGCGCATCAGTTAAGCCTGATTATGTCCCAAGCTGCTTCCGCAAATGCTCAAGTTCGGGTGTTCTTTGAGGATTTGAAAGATATTCCGGGATTTTTTAATAATTCTCCTCAACGCGTAAAGGTACTGAACAGAATTGTGGGAAAAAAAATCCACAAGAAGCAACAACTCGTTAGAATTTTAATATTTGATCAATAAATGTAGTGTTTGAGAACAGAGAATCACTCATTGAGTGCATGGAAGAAATAGAAGAAAATTTCACTACTAAAACAGTTTGCAAGGCAGCTTGCGGTATTCGCCGTATGTTAAACGGTTCTCTTTTCGTGTTTTGGTTGACATTTTTTCATCATGTCATGCCTCACGTCGACATCTTGTTCAACCAGTTGCAGTTGCAGAAGAGAAAAAACGAGCCAGCGCAAGTTAAAACGGCTATCGAAAATTTTGAAAAATGTATTGTCGATATGAGAAATAAAATTGATGACATAATAAATGAAGCCAAAAGTATTTGCACTGAACCCCAAGGCATCAAAAGGAGACGACGTAATAATAGCAGTCACGATCACCGAGTTGCCGCATTAGAAGTATGCGACAATATAGTGAATTCTGCAAATGACAGAATTCAATTCAAAGATAATTTGGTAGCCGCATCCCTTTTTTTCCCCGAACACTTTGGAGAATACTGTGGTAAGTTTCCTGATGACAAGTTAGAAACTACGTGCTTGGCTTATCCCGAATTAGAAAAAAGTCATTTAAAGACAAAGTTGCCTGTTATTTATGCATGGAATGATTGCCGAGATTTACATGGAACTCTGTCTCTTTTGAAATTTTTGATACAAAATAGTTTGGAGGAAACACTAAAAGAAACAAGAAAGCTATTAGAAATTATTGTTACAACTCCTATGTCAACATCAGAGGCTGAGCGAAATTTCTCAACATTGAAAAGAATCAAGACTTTTCTTCATAATACTATGACCCAGGATCGTCTTACAGCGTTGTCGATGCTGTCCATTGAAAAGGAATTTATTTCGACCATGGAATATTTCAACGGGAAGGTGATTGACAAATTTGCTGCCAAGAAGCAGTGCAGGATCGAACTGACATATAAAAAATAGGTAAGTTCGGATTTGCAGCACACCTGTGCCACGAGCCGTCACTGAAGTGGCCAGTCCCTAAATTGCGCAAAAAATTGTCTAAACGGTTTTCTTCAATAAATACACACCTACAGAAAATTTGTTCTTGTCACAGAGATGAACTTTCCCTAAAGTTGACAAATTTGCCACTCATTTTGTTATAAATAAAGGAAATGGTGATGTGTTTCCTCCTTCTGTTTTTGTAATTAATTAATAAATTAGTAAAACACGATAAATGGAATCAAATGGTGAGTCAGTGCAAATCAGCTGTTTAGTGGCTTGCAAATTTAGGTACTAGCTCAATAAAGCGCCAGTCACTCAAGACGGATTAAGTCACAAATCCCTGAGATTTTAGTCGGAACTTGTATTGCTTGACCACCCACACAAAAGAAAGGAATCTAATAACAATGGCATAATTATACAGAGAGCCAAATAAAACCAGATATTTAAAACAATCACAATGTATTAACCAATTAAATAACACTTATGTTCCACCACTGGAGTGCAAGTTACAGATATAGCGCCTAAACCTACACTCAAAGTCGGTTCAAAAGATTCGACAAATTATTTGGCTCTGTGTACCTGTAATAATTATGTCTGAAATGATTGCCCAATCGACTTGATATTTGAAATAATGCAAAATACGTCTCTTTCGAGTCGAAAAGTAGTATGAAAGAAGGACATTTTTAATCCTGTCAAAGTTCCCAAATATTTTTCAAACGTCCGCTAACAAAATTACAAAGCATTTCATAAGGTATTATTGTATATGTATTTTCGAGAACGTGATAGCGGTATATATTGAGCTTGCGTCTCACTAACCTTTTTAAAAAACTAAGCTTTGCATTAGCAATACCCCTCGGAGCACTTAGAATTTTCTTGATGGATGTTTGGAAAATATTTTCGTACATTGACTGAATTAAAATTTTTTATTTTCCATATTGTTTTCCTGAGTCGAAAGTGACTTTCCAAATATTAAATCGCTAATGTCTCGGAAACTATCAATTTTGGAAAAATGTTAATTAGAACTTTTGTTGCTCAAATTTATCCAAAAAACCCAAAAAAAAAATCTTTTGCAAAGTAAAATCTCTAATTTATGGAATTGGTTGAATATATTCTTCAAGCATGTTTGGCGCAAATTTGGGCCAAGTAATATACAGATTCGTTGAAAAGGCTACTTCTTGAAAAAGATTATGCCAGCAGATGCAAATATACTTCCTGCACTATTTTCAGGGGCAATTTATATGCTCTGTCGCGAGATACTATTCAATATCAAACAATAACGTGTGAGGATGCATTAATATTTTGTCCGTGTGCATCGCGCTGGGAAAGGTGATATGCACATTAACGCTGGTGTTGAGCGTATCATATTAAGGGTTGTTAGGATTGCTGTACACGATCCACATCTTGGCAACTTCGAATAATCACATTCAAGAGGAAATTTATCATTTTCAAGTGGGGTAATTTGCTATCGCTTTTTGACCGTTTGATCCCTCCGCTAGCTTAAGAAGGATACTATCCCGACTGTAAAGGTATGCAAACGATTTGTCAAGTAGATTAACTTTATACTTTGCACGCTTTCCAAATAAATTATAGTACATCTTTCCATGTAATTCAATGGCATCAAGAACCATTAATGCACTATTTAAGCGTATGAAAAAAAAAGGTGCAGCAATGAGCGTATCTGTACACGGTAGCCTCGTTTCTAGTGAGCTCGAGTGTAAAAGTTTTGTCAACAATGCTTTATGATAATTATAGCTATGTATACGTATTTATAATTTATCACAATATATACGATACTATATTATAATATTACCACACGAAATCAAGTAAACTCATTAAATCCCACTCCCCATTTTTACCCTGTTCTTGGCGTGCTCATCCGCTGTCCCTGAAGGGATTTTAAAAACTACAAACTCCTTGGCATAGTTGAAATTTTTACACAAGGTCACTTGTGGGGGGCTCATCAACTTTCAAAATAAAACTCTTAAATTTAAGAAAGCATTACAAAGATTCAACTACTGGTAAATTCGAAGCATTCCATGAAGCTTTCTGCAAGCAACACTGACTAAAAGATCATACTTTCACAACTTACTAAAGCTGGAGTTGGTCAGAAATAGCAATGTAATACGGATATAATTCCTCATTTATTTCTAGACAGTATCTAAATATTTGATCAGGGTTATATTTACCTCCCAATCCATTTGACGAGTGCGTCAATAGTTTTTCCGATAACACCGTTTCATTTTTCTCGCCGTTGGGGCGTGGTTATACGAAGGTAAGTAGAACGGGTCGGATGTTTGGTTTGAATATTGCAGGATGTGGTAAAATATGCAGAGGGACGTTGAATGGAGTTTTGCTGAGAACTCAAAAAAACTGTTTGAAACGACGGTAAACTTGTGAAAAATGGGCTGATGATATCTCTAAGAAAGCCAGCTTATCTAATACAGGGATATCGAAACGGTGCAGCTTTCAAATATTTTTGCGTATCAGCTTTCTTGACCGAAAGCCATTTTTCCAGGAATTTGGCATCCGACTATCCTACTTCCTACTAATATTATGAATGAGAAAGTGCGGATGTTTTTCACTCGCTCACACCAAAATGGCTGAACAAATCTAGATTACGTTTGGTACGGACACAGATTGTAGTCTGGAAAAGCAGATAGGCTACTCTTCATTCTGGGAGGTGACTTTAAAATATCTATTCCACGGGCTATAGCCCACACATAACACTTACTTTATAGAAGAAAGTTAAATGAGTGTCTTTGAGGGTATGTTTGGTAGACAAACAAATCATCTTATATAGTTAGTACGGATTTTTCCGTCGTTGGTTTTGATAGTCCAATGTTCAATGCTTTGACGTTGGTGTATTCGTAATTTAGAATTGAAAGTTAAATTTTGTGCGGCGCCGGCTTTCTTAGTAATTTTCTGTCGGTGATACAGATATCAACTGAGCGTTAAACTTAATTTAGATCTACAAACTTAATCTTTGTAATGGAGGCTTATCGAAAGCGAGGATTTAAAAGGTGCGTGGTGCCTGGTTGTTCTGATACAATCAGTAAAAGGCATACATTTCCGCTCTTTTTAACAAATGGATCCAGCAAGTGCGAAAGCCAGTTTTGGGCAATACAGTCACGAACAAATTTATAAAAGACTTTTTGTGTGACCTTCATTTTTTCGGAAAGTGATAATGTGCTTGGAAACAAGAGAGGTCTGAAATTAACCTTCCTACATTGCATATTCCTGAACTTCAATCTTCACGTAAGAAATAACTCTGATTACATATAAATAAACCAGCTACATGCACTGTACGTATATAATCAGCGAATAATCAGGATTAAGTGATTTAAACATTTTGGTGTCCTAAAAGCTTTCACAGTACTTACAGTTTGCACAATTTTTGGAAAGACTTACCTAGGATAAACATAATAAAATTCAATTCTTTTTTAGGTATGGTTTCGGAAAATGTTCAGAGTAGTCCCGAAATTCATGAAAGGAGTAGGGAAATTGCTAATTGTAAATTTACATGCTACATCGGTAATGCCGATTATTTTTAGATTACTAAGAACTTGTATAACTGTTATTTTTATGCATTGTATTAAAAAAATACACATTTTAAAAATAATATCAGGTTAAGCCTTATTTTACTTAATATTTCTTGTATATAATTTGAATATTTAATTTAAATTTAGCTCTACAGTGTAAGTCCGAAGATTATGCTAGGTATTCTATAATTTTAAAGGGTTCTCTAACAGTTCGTATGAGTTCTATAAAAGGTTCGGAATATATCCCAGGGAT